TACTCATTACTAACTGACAGCCTGAAACGATCTCCGCTATCCTAGCACAGAAAGGAGAGAATGGGCGGGAGCACGTGGTCGAATAAGCTTCGCGGACAGTGCTAGACGAGAGAAGGAACAACTCAGCACCTCAAGGGGAATGCTACGTTGTGGTCAAGGGAATCCAGCACTTCCACCCGTATYTCTACGGGCGAAAGTTCCTSCTCGTAACGGATTATGAGCCCTTGTTGGCATTTAAAARGTTRACGAATTACACTGGAATGATTGGGCGATGGGCAGTGAGGCTGCAGGAGCAYGATTTCGATATCATCCATCGAAAAACAGAGAGGCACGGGAACGCAGACGGGTTGACACGTCTGCAGAGGCTAGGCAAGGTGCCACGCGCCGAGGAGATCACTCYGTGGAAGAAATCGGAGCCKCCCAAGGGACCCGGGTACGGGCAGGTGAAGGTTCTCCCCCGACAGACGAAGAAGTGACACGTGTCCCCATGGCGGCCCAAGGGAAAGGAAATGCTAAGGAYCATCTCTCTCCTTCCTCCTCTTCTCTRTTTTCCCGACTCGATCATTTTTGTCTTCTCWGTGAATCCATTTCACGGGTCCATTCTGTTTCAGTTAAGGCACARAACGAGGGTTATGTCGAATGGGTAGAATGTGCTAAGTGTGTAGCAACAGTCCACAGGTCGTGTATCCAGTATAGGAATCCTCATAAACCATGGCTTTGTCACCTGTGCCATACTGACAAGATTCCAACGGAGGCTCCATTCCTGGACGTGACGTCGGAAGGTTTAGAAAAGACCCTACGGCTTAGACGGACAGAGGTATGGACAGATGTCGTCCTAATAGCCACAGTTGCCGGAAATTCTCTTCGGGACTTCTCTAAGGAGGAACGGAGATGGGCCAATGAGATAGCACGAGACCACTCCTAACAGAGCATCACGTCCCACCTTGCGATGTTAGAGAAAAGGAAAACGGATAGAAGCGGAATCCGGATGGTGGTACCGCACCCGTTCGTGAGGTATGACTGGGTACGGGCCGCTCATGAGGAGACGGCTGCACATTTCGCTGTCAGAATTATCGAGGTAGCCATCGATAAAAATGAGTGGTACTGGTCCAATATCCGAGACGATGTTAAATTTATAGTTAAAAATTGTCCCGTATGCGCCACAGACAAAGCGCCGATTCAGCCGCCTAGGTCGATAGTGCCCACTGTAGTCCAACGACCATTCCAGAGGGTTAGCATGGATACGACGGATATTGTCGTGCCCCCTAGACCAAATAGCTAYGAGTGTTCAATTCTTTTGGTCTTCTTTGACCACTTTTCAAAGTGGATCGAGGCATACCCCTGTCGAACAAGACAGACAGCGGAAATAGCGCGATATGTCAACCGTTTCCTCAGGATGCACCAGGATACCGAGGAAATCCTCACAGATAATGGAGCGGAATTTTGAGGCGAAGTCCTGAGGAACCTGGTCGTGCATGGGGTATCTATTCGTAATACCGCCCCCCATATGTCTCAATCGGACGGCCTAGTAGAAAATGCCAACCGAGTAATTAAAACGACACTCCGACGGAATATTGCAGGCAAGGACACGTGGCAGTGGCCTGATATCGTAGACCATATCCTGGCCATACATCGAGGGACCCCACATTAATTAACGGGACTTTCGCCATTACAACTACTTACGACCCAATGGCCTAGCTTGTGTCTCGATACCGAGCCTAAACGACGAAACGACCCTTCCCCGAAGGACCACTAGAGCGACAGTTAAAGACAAGGCCCAACGTTATTTGGATTTGATGGAAAGGGCCCTTCCTCAGTTAGCCCGGAAAAGACAGCGTATGATAGAAATGGCCCATGGCCGACAGGTCCGAAGCTACTAGGCCCGAAATGGGAACGCCGGACCCCGGCCCCAGTAAAAATTAGGGGACTTGGTGCAAGTAAGGAAATGTGCTCGTCAAGGGAAACAAGCGCCATGATTCTTCGGGTGGGCCTAACGGAGTGAACACTGTGCGCCTCGTTCCCGAAGTGGCAGGCAGTCGGTCAGCTAGACCCATAGTTCGCCACGTGTCCTACCTTTGCCATCTTTCTACTTCCTCCCCTCCTTCTCCAACTGGGTCACCCTCGGAATCGTGTTCCGCTTGGGAAAGTGACGCCCCYCAATCTCGTTTCTCTCTCCCTCCATCTTTTCCCTCCTCTTCGCCATGAGTTTTTCCACGGAGTAGGTACTCAGTGAGCAGATGTTAGTGCCACGCAGACACATCTCCGCGATCAGGCAAGTTCATCATCCRCGTGTCTGCCCGGACGTCCTCCGATTCGCCCAGTTTTTCAGCACGGCCAGCGTGAATGCGGCARCAGAGTTCYGATTCGTGATACCAAACAGCAAGGCACAGGTGTTGGCCGAAGCCTYGGCTTTTTTGCGACTCTCAGCRCTGGGAACCAGCCACGTTTCGACGATTAACAGCGATTTCGTCAAAACGGACATTTTATATTTTTTGAACGAAATTGAAATTGTCATTTTTGAGATGATTGAAGT